TCGAGCTCGGACCCCATGCTCGTTTGTAAAATTTTATTTGAAGGCATGATTTCATTTTCATATCAATAAAAATACAATTCATATTAAAAATACGAATTGACCACCATGGTCTGATATGTCTCACCCCTTGAGATTTTTCTGAATTTACGCCAATGAGTAGCATACTAGGATGATAGTGTAATCACAACTTTCAGGCACCGTGTCACCGCTGTGCGGTGGCGGCCGAAAGTTCTGTTGAGATGATCGAAGTTTTGGACCTGCATCAAACAGCAGTTGTTACTGCTTGTTTCCCCACGCTTGTGGTCGTTTTGCGACGTTGTGAATGGCCTCGATATTACCGGAACCCTTTGAGTTTCTCTAGTTAAAGGGGAAGTATAAAGAAAAAAAAATGCGACTGATTTCAGTCGACAAAAGCAGGCTCATTACGAGCATCTATGCTCATAGCCTACACACACCATGAGGAAAAGAAAAACCTCCCGTTCAAATTAGCACCCCAAAAAGCCATGAGTGGTTAAGATGGTTAAAATTAACAGGAAAGTAAAGCCCGTCAGTGTATGCGGCGCCCATTTTGTGTACAAGTACAACAAACTTCTAGGTTTGCACTTTCGAGCTTAGATTGGCTGCTCGACACGGTCGCTGTGCAAACAATACCAGAACTAAATTAGGATTGTGTTCCGCCTCTAGAATAGAATGAAAGGACCGGTTTCGAAACGTTCATTGCATCATTACACGTCTGAGGTGTCTGCGAAGTGCCTTCATGACCTTCAGATCTGCAGTAATTTGTACTCGGTCTTACTTTCTGATTGCGCTTTTTTGTCGTTTCTGCACCGTACCATGCTGTCTTTTGTACTTCTGAAACACCGAAACAAAGAATAGTAACGAGAACGACCCCTCTTTAACGTGAAAATTGTATATTACCGCTGGTTTCGTTCGTGATGCTTGCCAAATTAATTCTCTTGATATTCTGTTATTTTTATTTTATATATAGTCAAGAAAGTACCCTAAAATCTTATTGCCGGTAATATGACATGGTGCTTGTGCTTCAGAATTGAAAACCAACAACCTTTTTCGTCAGCTTACTCTGCTTCATGCTCTTAGGTGAGCTGAACAAGCTTTGCACAGAATACAATGCAAGCAAAACTGTAAGACAAAGCGCGTCTCCGAAAATGTTTCTGACATTATTGAGAAATTTGTACTGAGGCTCCTATTATAATGATTTTCCAACATGACACCAGTCGTGGCACGTGATTACGCACAATTCCCGATGAAGACCGTACGTATTTGCCTTATCTACAATTTCGCGCATATTTATCCACCCAGTGCTACCCAGCATTTATTCTCTCAATATATTATGTTAGCGCTCCCCTACTTTCTCAAAAACATAAATCAATGGGCCACCGAATCGCGAAAAATCGCTGTCTTTGCCAAAAGTGTACTTTTCGGTACTGTCTTTTTCGGGGCTATCATCTTAACGACAACTATGTTGGATGTATAGTCGCGTCACCTGTAGCTCATGAAAGTTGCGAATACAGCTCGCTTTTGGTTTTGCTTAGGGTCACTGAATAGTCCCATGGTTCAACTTCTTTTTTTTTTAGTTTGCCAACATGCTTTTGGAGCAGGTTTGGAGCAGTTACTAGCAAATATTGCACTTAGGAGCAGTATTTCTCTTTTGGAGCAGTTTGGAGCAATTGGAGCAGCACTTCCATCACTGCATATAGTGCACGTCTCGCGACTGAAACCATACTACTCCCGCCCCGAGGATTGATGGCACCGGGACTGTGCTTCTGCCGGCGGCGGGTAATGTCACGAGCTGAATAGATATCCGAGAATGACGACGACGAAATGCTGAGGGGAACGTGCATGGACTGCAACAGCGTTGTACGAATTGACTCGCACATATATTCATCGGATATACTTTCTTCCCCGTAACAATATATAAGGAGGTCATAATAACCCCTCTAGATGGGTAACGACCTTATTTCATTAATACCCATCCCCAAGCATACATTCGTACTGCAATGACCAGACATCTACTTGAACATACATATTGCAAATGAATTCCGCGATGTGGCGGGCCCCGCCATGGTGCTCTAGTGGCTAAGGTACTCGGCTGCTGACCCGCAGTTCACGGGATCGCATCCCGGCTGCGGTGGCTGCATTTCCGATGAAGGCGGAAATGTTGTAGGCCCATGTGCTCAGATTTTGGTGCACGTTAAAAAACCCCAGGTGGTCGAAATTTCTAGAGCCCTCTACTACGGCGTCTCTCATAACTATATGGTCGTTTTTGGGATTTTAGACCCCCCATATCAACCAATCAAATCAATCGCGATGTGGCGGAAGGGTTAAGAAAACTAAGGTAAACAACCACTGAATTTGTCGACAGGTCCCGGTTCGATCCCCGGACCAGGACAAATTTTTCGGCAGCTAAGACGCGTTTCACTCAGAGAAATTCGTATGTCCTTGTGGCATCGTGCCATGAATGTGTGGTTGTCTACTTTCCCTTCATCGGATTCTAACAGAGTGCTTGAAACGTTTAAATGAAACCCTTAAAGAGCAAAACGACAGGCATGGATTGGGGGGAGTGATTCTTATAAGGGAGAAAAAAAAAGATAAAAGTGAGCCGCGTAACTGTCTGCACCAGAGTGCGACACCTCAACAGTGGCTTACGAGGGATGAGAGTAAGGAGGGATTCAAAGGAATAGAGTGAGAACTAAAGATAAAATGGAGGAAGATGGGGACACGGTCGAAGCAGTCCGAGGACGGGGTACCACTCAGCGAGAGCTTCACGGCGTCAGGAGATGGCGGAGGGCAAGGCGGTCGGCTAGAGCTGCGCTGTCATCGGAGATCGCGGCGGTACAACCGTACGGCACGGAATCCAGCGGGTGAGTGACAGGCATGCACAAATCTATTCCAGTAGCTTGTGAGGGGTTTTTTAAAAGTTATTCTTACGTCAGTGGATCTGAGTCCTGGTCTCAGACGTGCATAGACGACGCCCAGACTTCAAGGAGCCTAATGCTCGTGCTCGCGTTCTGCCTGCGGGCATATGCTACTGGCTGCAGCCGATTGCAGGGTCGGCGCCAGGATGTTTTTACCGGGAGGGGGGGGGGGGGCAAGCTAGCTCTGCTCCTACTAGGTTTTCAATATATGCTTCCGGGCACTTTGGTGGGCATAGGGGGGGGCAGGCGAAAATTTTGGGGGGGCTCCAGCCCACCCTTGCCCCCCCCCCTGGCGCCGCCCCTGGCGGATTGACATAAATTGCTATGTATTGCGTAATACGGTCTATGTATGCGGGTTTAACGTGATGAATTTGTAAAGCGCCCGCCAAGTCTGAACAACTAATGCAAAGTACGCTTAGTGGTTATCAGAAAGACGGTGGTGTGCAAACATCGACAGAGAAGAGGGCGGCAATACAAGTGCCTGCTACTAAATTAAGGGGTGCGCTGTGACGAAAAGAAGGCAGACAGAAAACTTGGGCGCGAATGGTAGGGTATGTAATAGTTAAGCGTAACGAACAAATGAAAGAAATGCTACAGATACGCACGTTGCTCGCTATGGCAGCATGTCTCCGTTGTTGAATGCTGTTCAACGCCCGTTACTTTGCACTTCTCGTGAAGCGATCAGAAATATCCTTACGCATTGTCGTACATGCACTGTGCCGCTCACGCGCTATGCCACTATGCTGCAAAAATATGCTGCAGTTGACATTGCATGCAATTTTGCGAATTTTGAGAAAACCACATTTTGTTACTGCCTCTCCGTAGCTGGAGTTTTATATTTTTATCTTTGATTGACCAGATGAGTGCGCGAATAGTTCCGAATAGTGGCCAAAAATATCGAATATTGAGACAAATATAAGACATATTGTGGAACATTGAGAGAGAGAGAGAGAGAGGTGTTTATTCACAAAAAGGCAGAGGGGTCGGCCTGAGCGATAGTATGCTCTAGCCTGCTACTCTACACTGGGGGAGGGGAACGAGCAGAAAAGGAGTAATGTATGACGACGGGGAAGTAAGGATGCGAGTATGTACAGTGTCAATTTTTATGAAAGGGAACACGCGAACACGTGGCCCGCGCGTTCCTGCAGCTGCTTGTAGCGCGTTCAAGCGGGAGCAATAGCAACCACAACCGCTATTCCAGTCATTAGTGGCGAGCGAAAAAAGCGGTCATTGGTAATATGGAACCTATGAACCGGCGGCAAGATAGCGACCCCCTTTTCCTTCAAGGCGATTACGCCCAACCTTTATGTAATCACCTTGAAGGCGAAGGGGGTTGGTTTTTGGCGCCGGTTCCATACCACCAATGGCCGCTTGTTCCATATCACCAATGGCTCGCTGTGACGTAAGGGTGTTTCCTGCAGTTGAAACATCATCTCGCTGGGTACCTCAATAGCAAAGATAAAAAAGCTACCACAAATCACATTTCGTCATACCTGTAGAAAGCGTAGCTCCACGCTGTTTCTAGAATCATGAAAGGGTCATCTTTTTTGGGGGATGTGGGGCTCATTGAAGTACTTTATAAGCTGTTGACCGTAAGGTGCGAGCCAATACTTTATCTGGATATTTTTCACGTTAGAAATTCATCAGCCTCGTATTCTTTGCTGGAGCGATAATTTGTCGATGGTTTCGAGCGCATCCCCGGTTTTGAAACTGCTTTGAAAGAAAAGGCCAGCTGTAACGACGTTAGCATCAGTTTCAGTCACCAAACCCTTACCAAGTTGTATTTTTGGCCTTTGTCGCGCTTCAGGCATTCGTATTGTGGAATTATTCAGAAGTACAATCACATTGTTTGATTAGGTATTCGATTTTAATCCAAAACTTGAATGTTCGCACAGCCGTGCTGACCAGGTATACTAAGTGCTGCTTTCTCACGGAGCAAAATCTATTTTCGGTGCAAGGTGTGGCTCTAAGAATAGAAGCAGGTGAAGTTAAGCTAAGGGGCAAGCAAGATTGGTTCAGTTGGTGCCAGATATCTTGCCATGAAGTCAAAGAGGCTATACCTCCGTAAATAAAAATTTATTGATCAATTAAATTTGAGAAGCAACGCAGAGTAGAAAGCATATAAACATGGCGTGAAAAACATGTACTTTTTGGTGCAGTCGTCATCTTCTATCAACATATTGTGTTACCAAATATATTGCACAGACATTGTCAATACTGCAACTGCTGGACATGAATAAAAAAAAACACCTCTTTACCTCTCACACCCGTGTAACACCGTGACACTTAAAAAAAGCTACATCCCTACTCGCTTTTATTAAAGACAAAAAATATGTTGCCAAGCGACGGCGTTTCCGCCGGCAGCAACTTGGAAATGCAAGAGATGCGTTCTCTTGAGGCGACTCGGACAAGCCTTGAGCACTGTTCAGTTGTTTTCGTACTGCTCCGGTTGCGATTGAGTGATCACCTGCACAGAATAAATACAGAAAGTTTTATGCTTCAATGCAAGCATGTTCTATCGCATGAAACAAATTGGGCACTGCGGAGTGTTATGCTTCTACTGAAACCTGCAAAAAGACACTGTTCCATCGATAAATAAAGTTTTGGCTAGCAATTTTACATAGTTTAGTCCTTTTTCATTGCTCGAAGGCTAATCACACCTACGACTATTTTTTTATTGTCGGGTCCTGGGTTTTGAAGAAGGAGTTTGCACAAGGCCTTTCACGATATGCATTTCATGCTTCCCGAAACGCTCGAAAGGAGCAAAATGGTACGGTAGGAGCCGTTGCGAATTTGTTTCTATCAGTGCACAGGCCTAATTTCCGAGCCAGGCCTTGCTGACGGCGTCGAAAGCAAGCCCAGGCCTGACGCTAAAGAGTGCGTGGCCCATCCGGCCCAGCACAATGTGCAAAAACAGAAGTCCGAGCCAAGACCGGTACGGCCAGACACTTAATTATGATGGTTTGTTTCGGAGACAAGTCGCCGTTGACGATATATATAATTAATGAGATCTAACAGACAATAATGCCAAGGAATGTATAGCGGAAGTTAGTAGACCAGTTGTGATGTAAATGTGAAGAAAGAAAAGTAAGAGAAAAGATAACTTGCCGTGAGCAGGGACCGAATCTGCAACCTTCGAATAGCGCTATGCGTGCTCGTCCGAATATTCAGATGCAATCGACATTTTCTGTGGATCGACGTAGACAGGGGATCGCCTTGTGACGTTTCAGAGGTCCAGAACATGTGCGGAGTGCGCACAATACCCCGGCTGGCAACCGTCGCGGACTATTGTTCGTCACCCATCCCGCTCTGTTGGGCTGCTCTCGAGGTGGTTTAGGCTGCTTATGCCAGGAATGCTTTCTTTTTTTTTCTGAGAAGAACACGCTCAAAGCACCCACGTTGCTTCATTCTTCACCATCCGCGGGTCCCCCTATTTGAAAACAGCGTGCTTCAGTGTCGCCAAAGCTTGAGCACACATAGTATCAGGCACTGCTGCACTGTGGGGCGCTAGTTTCTTATAGTATTTAGCCGGGCGTTTCGAACTGACGCACAATCGTTCTGTAGCAACGCCGCTAGCAAAATTTACACCATGCGTTAGTGCATTTACGATATAATTTCGGCATTACCAGTCACAAAGCTACAAATTATTTTAAAAGACTGGCAAACAAAACTTTCGCTGTCAGGAGTTCTTTAACCTCCGGTCCCTGCGACGCCGAGTGACTCGATCAAAGCCTGATCAGAAGTACGCGTTGCGCATGGCACTAAACAAAGCTGATATGGGCCAGCGCTACACTTGCCAAGATAATTTTAAGATGAGTTAGACGGCTGGCGCGAATGCTCTCAGCGCGCTAACTGCCGAGCAAGCACTCTCTTCGCGAAAGGACGTCTGCTACGCAGGAGCAAGGCAGGTGGCGCCACGTTCGAAATGCGAATGCGAAGGAGAGCAGATCGAGGAGAAACACGAGCGGAGGAGGAGAGTGTCACTACTTTGCAAAGTTTTAGGGGCTTTAGCATCACCAAATCGCTGGCCAGATCGTAACGACGCGGCGATGTGCGCTGCTGCGTTCATCTCCCGCGCGTACTTTTCCTCGCGTTGCGGGAAAAGGGGGGACGGGGGCGGTAGACGCTCACGCGTGTTTATCTCGTGGTGGGGATAATCGCACACCTTGGGTTTTCACCGGAACGATTATGTCGTAGTTACCGGGCGCACAAAGGTTACTGCACTCGTAGCACAGTCTCCGTTTGCAAAAAGGGCGCGCTTTTCAGAACAATTGAAGTAACAACATAGACTTTTATTTGCGTTCATCTGAAGCTGTGAGTACGTTTCGCGTGTCATTCGTGCGTGAGCAACGCGGAGCACGCTGCGATCTGCTTGCCATTCTTCGCGTGACGTTCCAATTTGCTGCTATCGCAGTCATTGCTTAGCCATTACGGCAAAGCTGTGACTTTCTTTTTTTGTCCGACGTACGAACAATATTCAGCGCCAGAATATTCTGGCTGAACTGAAGGAAAGTATTTTTTTGTTCTGTTAATGTGTTTATTTGGATACAATTTACGAAGAAAAGCATGCCAACCACTGCATTTTTCTGAGAGAGATCATTGTAAGGAGATATCAATTCGTCTGTGGCAGCACTACTTTTTTTTTAATTTACGACCCGCTTTGTCTCGGTGCCAAATTACCCGATTTGAGACATACAAAGGCATTCTAGCATACTTACTTTTTGGAGACTAGTATGGAGAAAAACTGGGCTAATTATCGTCGTTGAATCGTATTGCTCTCCTGACTCATAATTTTACTATTATATCGCGTACGAATATTTATGAGGCGGTCAACCGAAGCGCAGCTACGCTCTAGATAACTGAGTTCTGTGGTTATGTCATTGAAATAGGGTACGTGAGAAGTAAATTTGCCGGAATATTGCACAAGGGTTCGATTAGCCGACCTACATTTACCCCCCCCCCCCCCGTCCTTCGCTGAGAAAGTGCCTGAGTTGTCATCGTCTCCTTTTTCGTCATCTTAATTTTTATTACATTTTGGTAGCACAGTGGCAATATCAGTATCGTGTTCATTCACTGTAATCTCAGCTGCGTCGTAATCAACGGGTCGCACATCTAGCATAACGGCGTCTCTCCAATTAAAACTAAGTATTTAGACTAATAAAAAAAAGTGCGAATTGTCACTGCGCAAAAGGTCACTGAACTCGCACATAGTCTTCGTTTGCGAAAATGGCGCGCTTTTCAGACAGAGTGAAGTAAAAACTGAGACAATTATTCGATTTAATCTATACCTGTACGTTTCGTGCGTCATTTGTGCCTGAACAACGCGGGGACCGCTCGATCTGCTTGTCATTTTTCGCGTGACATTCCAATTTGTTACTCTCGCCTTCAGCGCTTCGCCTTTGCGGAAAAGCTGTGACTTTTTTTTAACCAGTGGAAATAGTCGATCGAGTCCAGTGCGCAAAGTTAATTCAAGTCCTTCCTGCGAATAGTCCATAGCCACTTTGAAATTCTCGAAAGGCGGCCATTCATGACCACCACCGAGCGATGAAATCTGGCTAACTAAGCCGGTGACACGGAAACCGACGCAACGAACAGCGCATCTACCATTAACTTCGTAAAAACCCTCAATAATGACACTATCTCCCTCGCATTGTGGGAGCAGGATAAGCGAGCGTCGTTAAGCGCCCACGAAGAGAAGTGTTTCGATTGAGGGTTGATAACTGCGATGGAGGGTAAAATTAAACGCGACAAAACAGTATCATGACCATGAAAGATAGATGAAGTGCCTTTTTAAAGAGAGTCATGCATGTGGCAAGCCAGATCTCCAAAAAAGAGTGAAAGGACTTAAAGGAGCCATGACACCTAATTTTCGATCATAATATGTGTTTCGTGTGTTAATACTTGAGGATTCACAACTAAGCTGGTGAAATTTTCACGCATTCGGTCTAGCACTTCATTTATAAATTAATATTTTCACAAACACGCGAGTGGCCCTAGAGACGGGCAACACTGTAGCACTCGCCAACCGGGATGTAACAAGCGGCTTCATGTGCTATAGCGTTGGCATTCCAAGGAACAATATTGTTTGTAGGTCATCAGCGCGCGAAATCGAGGTATTTGAGGTTGATTGTACTTGACACTGAAATGAAACAATTTGCAGCGGCTGAAGCTGTGGTACAAAACGACACCACTCTTGGCTGCACGTGACGTCACAGGCGCCATGGCAAAATGGCTGTGGCGAACTGTGGGCGCGATTAACAGTCCGTGACTTCTAGGGCCAGCTCTGCCCTGAAATACTCTTTTACGACCCACTTTTCATATCTCTATAGGCATAATAGATCCTGTTCACTGAACACCACAAATTATTAGGTGACCGTGTAGTGGCCTCCTTAAAACTGATGATTAGAAGGGCGTATAAAGAACAGACGAACACGTTAGTGACGTACGAGTGTCACTGTGCTCATATACGCTGTCCACGCGTTTTTTTTTTACAATCATGAAAAACCAATCGGCCCAAATCGCCACCCATATGATGTAAATTAACAAGTGCTTCTTCGCGGCTTCGAACAAGTGATTTCAATCATTTGTCTATGTGACATAAACGTATAAGCATGTACTTGCAGGAAATAAGGTGGTAAGAGAGCACTCCTATCCAGAAAGTCGGTATTTCATGTAGAACATCTAATAGGACAAAAAATGACTTCTGAAGCCCAGGATGCGAGTTTCGTGGTCTATGTGAACGATGCTCGCGACGCGTGTTACGTTTCATTTATTTAACGCGCCGGTTAACATGAATACCCGCACAAAATAACGTTTCATGTCCGCACGAACACAGTGCTCACAACATTTATACGTGCATGCACAGGGTGTTTAAAAAAATGGGCCCAATGTTTTTTAAACATCAGCAAAAGGCGCAATTTGCTGGTTGTATTCAGAGTTGCTTTTTCTGTAGCGGCAGGCATCGCAAGATGGTTGAAGACATCACATGAAACAGTAATCAGGGAAGTTTACTTAACTTTTAAATAGTGTAGTTAAGCAGTTACATGAAATGGGAAAAGTAGTCCATGCGGAGAACCCACTGCAACTTTGATATTTGCGAATTAATGGAACTCTCCTCAACTCTGCGGTGAAACCAAAACCATGCAAGGACCCTGTACAATAGGTGTGCTCGAGCTGTGAGGTGACCCGTTAGCCGCTGAAACCGATAGCGCAAAAATCGTGCAGCTGCGTCGTCATTCGCGTAGAACATAAAGCCTTCTTGAAGATAAGTACTCATCCAAATACTCTTCAGTACTTCAAACTTCCTAGTTGACGAAAAATTCGTCCTGATTCGGTTAGCTATAGCTTTCTGGCTAGGCCATCTGGTGGAGCTGCGATTCCGGAAAAGTTATTTGAGTCCGTCTTCGAACCAGGGCGAATTGTAAGTTCACTTGGAAGTTTGTTTTTTGCAGGCTTCCTTGAAGATTTATTCTACGATTGGGCAGATTGCAACCTTCTCTTTCATAACTTTTGAATAACTTTTCATAGTTTTGAATGAATTGACGCCAAAGAAGGAGCGGTGCTTACGAATGGGGTGCGCTGCCCGTATTTGCTCCAGAAGGTGACCTTGCTTTTGGAACGGTGTCCGGTGCGCTGGTCGAACATGGAGCACTCTTCGAAGGGAGGACAATACAGGTGCAGGCTCACGGCTGGTTCACAGTGACTCGGGTTCTCAACCCTGTGCAGGCCCAGGGAATCTGCGGCACAGAGATCGTGTCAGAGTAGGCTAGAAGCTATGCCGTACACCAGCTATCACACCGAGAAAGTTCTTAGCAGGGAACCATGAGTATAGACGATCTTACTCGTGGCTTATTGGCGCGTACATTTATACCATTTTGAAGTCTTGAGAGTGGACATATGAAGATGCCCAAAAGCAGTTCCATCCGTATACAAACCAACATCAGTTGTTATCACAGATTGTTTCTGCCATCTATACCATGCTGTCAACAGATACATATGAAAAGCCTGTCACAAGAGCTTCTGAAGCGATTCATCAACAAAGCGAAAAGGACGACGGAGAGGGCCACACCGCCAAGAAAAATCGCGAGCTTCAGAACCGGCCAAACAGTCACCCATGAAGAAGGGACCGAACCGGTCCCTAAACGTCGGGTCAGTTCACAGTCCTTAACTTTTATCTTTGGGCTATCACTTGGCTGGAGAGTTTACGTTAGTATGAAAGCGGATGTAGCAGCGTTACTGTCACGTTGTCCGTTCGAAAGCACTGAGTTGTGCTCACGTGCGGTCTGTACGCCAAGGCATAAAGTTGTGCACACAATTTTTTTCTGTAGCCTAATGCAGTCTTTCTCAAAGTTGAGGTGGACAAACTGACATAGCGATTTCCAGTAGAATACATGCACTGAAAGGCGGGACGAAGGAAGGACACAAACCACGGTATTCTTCTAGTTTTTTTTGTTTTTTTGCCTATGCGCAGACTAGTCATTATTGTTACTTTTTATTTCTTTTTCCGTTTCCTTGAGATTGTGTTGAATTATATATTTGCGGAATGGAATAATAAAACACATTTGGTTGATAAAGAAAGCCATGGTTTGTGTCCTTTCTCTGTCCCGCCTTTGAACGCTGTTTCATGTTACTGGAAATCATGAACAAACAAGCACAAATACCTACCTTACTACAAAACAGAGCGAATTAATCAAAATATTTTTTTTCAGCTGAGCCACACGGCTAAACGTCATCGAATGTTACACGAGCCGTGTATGAAAAGGGTGTCCTTCACACCCGGTCCACGCTAGCGGCAAGCCTGCCCTGACGGCACGGTGCCGTAGACTAGCGGCCGGCGCCGTCCGCAGGAGAGCTGTTTCGAGTGCACGGCAAGCTTCGCCGGCGAGGCCTTTCAGCCTCCGTAAAACATGGCTGCCCTTCCAAATGCAGTTCTCGACCGCCTCGAATCTATTAGGCGGCCGCCAGCTCTCTAGCTCGTAAGCTCCGAATTGATGCTTCCAATCGCCTTAGACTCATGTCCTCAAGCTTCGACAACATAATACTCGAATAGATCCGGCAGAGTTTCGAGAGCCATGCTCAAATAAATAATGTTCTAGGCTTGGCGAGCCTTCCCGAATCTCGGAAAGCCTAACTCGTTTGTTAGATGTTCCTAACCATGGATAGCTGGCGCCACTAGTCGGGTTGCCAGATTTGGGACACGTTATCTGGTTTTACACTGCACTTTTTTTTTATTGTCAGAGAGGCTGAAACGCTCTATTAACTGCTAGAACAAAGCCTCGGAAAAAAACTTACGACATCCACACTTATAGCGTGAAAACTCCGGAGCAAGAAGCAAGCAGCTCGAAGTGTACCGCGGCAGACGACGCGGAGAGCCGAAAGCAGACGACGCGGCTCACCCATGTCGCTCCTCCGTCGCTGATTGGCTACGTCACTATCCAGCAAACGGCAAACCACGTGAAAATGGGCCTCTGACCCATTCTTTAAACAGCGAAGAACGGCAGACGTGCGCGATGCTAACAGCCGTGCACGGCTGCCTCAGAACGTCAAACGGCGAGGCATGTTTGCCGCTAGCGTGAACCGGCCCTAACACGTGAATTCAGCACTTTCGGCATGGACGCCAAAAGAACCCAAGGACGGTGCCTGGTTGCCAAGTCCCACCACAGGACGCGAAGATGGAAATACATCGCGTGTGGTTCTCTTGGGCTAAGCACCGAATTGATCTTATGGTTACGATTATAGCAGCAGCGCTAGGCTTAAAAAAGCACGGTCCGCCTGCTCACTATTTGCTCAACGTATGGTAAGGAAAAATGTTTTTACCAGGTGTGCGCCGAAACTGGTAACTGCTGAGCTGAAGTGGCAACGAAAATGATTTTCCACTGACTGAAGTTCGTCCGACAACGTTACGAATTCTCGATAATTCTCATGAGCGTCGTAACTTCAAAATGCAAAGAAAACATCTAATTTGAATCACACTTATATAAAAGAAGGATCAAGTGGAAAATATTTGGGCTAAACGATTTACGTATATTGTGGCAAAACAGCATGAAGGAGCACGTGGAAGAACACAATCAGTTGTTCTTTTTTATTGATAACTAACAACTATAGCAAGTTATAGTCAGCGTTCTGTCTTCCACCGGCCGCGTCACTCGCGCTGTTTCACCATTGCATAAGGTGCGAAAATTGCGTTGCATTCAACTGGGATTATCTTAAACCTGATGTGACCACACCAACGCATCCGAACGTTTGTGAAGTCTTATGTTTCCTACAATGTTATCTTACTGTGAGCAGACAACTTAGCCGAATTTATGTCGACCAGCACTCTACTTCGTGCAATCTTAAAGGAGTCATAAAGAAACCGGAAGCGCTCCTCATCAACTTGAAGCATTCTTGTCCGACGAATTTAGTTGTCTCCCTGTTTCCTGGTCCACCTGAACAAAAACAAAACAGACGGCGGAGTGTCGCAGTGGTGTAAGAAATGGAAAATAAAGTATACGCTTTAATCTACAGCTTGGAAGGCAGATGAATGGAATGGACCAAGCACTCTTTCTTTGTTCGCTAGTTCTCAGTGTGCTGCCATAATTAGCGTCAGTTGAAAAAATCACAGCATATCCACGCAGTGAATGATGATGAGTGGGGTGAAGCGCTGGAAGGTTTCGCCGCTAAACCTTGAACCATCCGGAAGTGTCACCCACTACATCATCAAAGACATGACAATCACTGTATATATTTATACAAGAAATTTTACAATTCGTAAGCGGTAGCTATACGTCGCTTCCGTTCCCCCTTCATTATAACGAACTTATGGTCAATGAAGAGGTGCCATCGATAGATGATGGGGTGGAGTGAGAAATACAAAGTAGTGGGCATTTGAAAAGGTGAAACTATAGGCGGTCACGCACGAACAAGGGATGGACACAGTGAGACAATCTATGGTTCTTTAACGCGCACCTCGATACAAGTGCACGACCACCTTGCATTTCATATTGGCTACTTCTCAACAGTATTTGCTTTATGGTCGCTGAAGTGGTGGATCGGTGATGGGGCGTAGTGGGATGTTTGCAAGGACGAAGTAGTGGGCAGTTGGCAAAGGTGGAACTAAAGACTGTCACGTACATACATACAATGGATAGATGGACCCACGCCTCTAGAAGCTTCGCCTCTAAGAGAGCGCCGCGAATGATGGAGGTGTAGACTACGTTGTGTTCCGGCTCTTTTCATAGCTTTCCCATCAGGGTGGGTAAATGTTCATCGAAGAAGTCTCGCATTTCACCCCCCCCCCCCCGCATAGGCGACACGGGATGGCGCCCCCCTCCGCGTGTGCACGCCCATGGCTCGGTGGTTAGCATGCACGCGATATTTTAAATAGGAATTGCAAGCTCGCCAAGATCCACGTTCTCCGCGTGCAGGAAACGGGGACACACCAAGAGGCAACAAAATGTTGCTGCATATACCTGCTCAGGCCGCCGTCGAGCGAAGCCTGTCTGCCGATACTTATTTCTTTTTTTTTTAGGTGTTCTCTTATAAAACGCGTTGCACAGCTGCGACGAGAATGCCAGTGCAACGACCGTAACTGAAACACGAGGACTGCACCACCGGCGCTGCTGCCCTTTGCTTCCCGGTACGAGGGGCGAAGGAAATTTTAACAACTCGAACGCTCACCGAAGAAAATTGACTTGTTCACGTTCACCCTTACTTTTCCAGTCTTAGAAAGCGAATCCGTACAAAATAATGAAATCATAACCAAAAAGAATTATAGTAATCTGTTATTTACTTAAAGAAAGGAAGGTGGGCATATTCATAAACTAAAACTAAACGCTTACTTGTCACAAAAAGCACTAACCTCGTAGTAAGTGAAGGTGGTAAAATGCACGTAAGTCGAATCCGCCACATTGTTAGCTAGTGAAAAGCACAATCTGAAACGGTTGGTTTTTCACTATTGTCACGTGATCGTGACGTTGCAGGCAGAAGTCGGCTCGTCTGAAGTGATACTCCTTTATTTGTCCGAACGTATGACCGCGAAACAAACTCAAATTACAGCAAGCAATGTACGCTGGACACTGATACCGGAGCACAGAGCGTCGGTTGCGATAAACTGATCAGTGGCCACGCATCGGCATTCAGACATGCGGCGTCGAACATTCGAGTATTATCACTGGCGGCCGCGTTTTTTCTCAACTCAGCTGTTCGCGTTTGCGCGCTCAAGCCTAACAAATGATCCCAAGATAATGTGGAATGCTCTCACACATTGTGCCCTGCGCGATTTGCGCACGGCAGTATATACACATGCAATGGGCCAGCAACACAAAACACAGAAAGAAAGGAGCCTGTGTGGCACCATGTTGTTAGTAACCGGCCTTGCAACTCAGTAACCGTGCTGACACACGTGGACCATAATTACCCAACAAGACGTTAACGCCTATGCGGTTTATATGTGCCTTGTACATTGTCATACAAAGTTGATTACATTACGAAATATTATAAAGATTGATTAAAATCAAATGTTGCAGCGTTGTCCTGTTGTTCTAATCATTAATCGATAAATACTTAATGTAATTAATAATTACACAGAAGAAAAACTCAAACAGAGCCATGAACGGAACCCAAACGAGCACACACACAGAGCTTCAAGAATTCACACGCACGCAACTTCCTATTTCCTTTTCCATCTACTGTAACAGCAGCTTGACAGCTCTTTATGCGCCTACTTTGGGACGACACACCTTATAGCAGTTCGCTGTCATAGAATTCAGGGGGATGATCGATGTTTCATTCCCAGTGTCTCACACCCCACTGTTTGCTTATGTATGTGCTATAGCGTAACGCGATACTTTTATTTCAACATAGTCAAGAAAATTTAACTTTGTATAAATCTTCTAAAATACTGCCTAATGTTACGGAATAATATACTACGGTATCTATGAACAATCTGGGCACATAGGTGGCTCAGTTCTTGCATGTACTCGGCCACAGCATTTCTTGGCACTGAAGGGAAAGCTACGGAGGCGGAGCTTCTGCACAAGTAGCAATATACGCGAAGTTGTCCGTTATGGCGGGCGTCTCGTCACGCTATGGAAAGTGACGGGGGCGTACACTCAGCGTTTTACGAAGACGCAGACGCCGATTAGCGTTTAAGGTACACGTAAAAAGGCGGGACTTTCTCGCGCGTTCAAAAATGCGAAGTCACCACAAATAAATTAATGTAAATACGACAATTCTAATGGTGGGAGCTGCGTCCTGTCTCAAATAGTTCCATGTACAAAATAAAAAAGGAACTTCTATATTTCACGGTGAATATATGGGCGTTATTGTGGAACTACATTCACTGGCGCTGGGATGCCCGCGCTTTGGCTCTGTAGCCTTCGCTTAGATGCCAAGAAAAGTGGTCGCCGAGTATAGTGAAAACACGAAGAAAGCCTCCCTGGTTAGCAGCAGCAAAACTTACGAGCATTTGTAGCTGCTGGGTAGTACAGAAATGCTACGAAAGCAGTAAAATGCGCTCGCAGCCGCTAAATGCATGTATTTACAGAATGTTTATCAAGTTTTTTTCTAAGAGTGTTCATTTGACTAAATATCCAAAATAGGGATTTTACTTCGGGGATATATTGCACAAAGTTTTCGTGAAACTTTCAACGTTTAAAACGTAAATTACCATTACTGAATCGACAGCAACAGGTTAAGCTTTGAGGGACAATAACAACTTACCCAACGTAAGGTCGCACCATGGGCGCATATTTTTTAAGAGGTATTCCCTGACGTGTTTCATTGTCACTGGTAAGTTGAAAGACAACACATGTAATGTAGCAAGTAAGAAAATATGAAATCATTTCTACTTTAGAAACTGTTCAGATACTAGAAAAATACTTTAACGTATGCTTGCAATGTAACTACACGACAGATTGCATCATTAGTGTTTGGTTGCGTTAATGCCAAAAACTTTCACCTTCGCTCTGTAAATGTGAGTGCGAGTGAAGTTTGAAGAGAAGTTGAAACACTTCTCCTTAAACAATATACATGTCACGCGGTTCATGTTCGCCCGTTCAGCAGCGTACCGTTGATGTAGGCGACGCTGTTGAGCTGCAGCTCGGTGTCACCCCTCTTGGTCATGGGTGCCTCGACGCCGTCCTTGGTCTGGGGCCAGTCGAAGCGAACTTCCTTGAGAGTGCCGGCCAGAACCTGCGCACGAGAGGGGAGACGCTTTCCATACAGTTGCTGCATGTCCGCAAGCAACAGCTGGCTACGTGATGCTTTGATATGCACGTCTCAAAACCTGGACCCTTTAATGCTTCGTTGGGGGAAGAGTACGCAGTCTGTGTTGGCGCAATTGACATGGACATTATGAGGGATGACATTGCAGTTCCACGTGAGAGGTTCTGGGAAAATGCTCGTGGTTATTCCCTGCAGAAATTGTGGCAGAACGTGTCCTGATAAATTTAAACACGCGTTAGGCTTGACGCTGAAAACTTCGCGCGGAAGCACAAGAACAGCAGCTCGCCAAGTGCTCAAGCCACAATGCCCATGCCATAAATTTAGACGCTGCTCTTGCTCTGCCATCAAAGGCAAGATATTCAGGCCGATAATACGAAAAGATAAAAAAAAATTGGCAGATCCCACGTACCTGGGAATCAACTTTATGCGAAGCACGCGGAGGGAAGGTGACGGTGTTGCATTTTTGTTTGAGCGACACGTCATGAAATGACGCTAAATATATGTACAAATTTTGCACGCAGAGACATATGTTGAAGAGTTGCAGATGTTTATATAACCAGTTTTCCACTTGCACAACGACATCAGCTGGAAATGTGTTTTAGCCACATCAGAAGCTGATATGAAGCGCTGATGTTCGCGAAGATGCTGGCCCTTGACATTGCTATTTAAATCAATTTCATCACATGAAACCTCACCACAATTGACGTTAACACGACGTGACGGCTCTATGAAAGGAGTACATATGTAATGTTTTTAAAATTGGGTAGGCAGCACTGCAATCACTATTGACATTTCACGAAGATTAGCGTCTATTTGAAAAGTAGTTCCGAGACCTGGCGTAGCACTGCGGTAGAATGCTTGACTTCCACGCAAAATGCTTGGGTTGGACTCCTACTGGGTCCATGAAATTTATTATTTGCATTCATCGGGTGGCCAACGCTGCCTATGTCAGGTTTTTCTTAACACTGACATTTATTCTATGCCTTCTTTGGGTCGACGCTACCGATGTCGGGTATTGCTTAACGCTCACGCGTTAAAATTGCCCATGTGTGTTCTCGTCGTTCCTGAGTAGATACTAAGTGTCAATCACCTGTGGCACATACCCGCTTACCAGCGGCCCATACCCAACCGTGAGTACGTGCAACTGTCAGACGAGAAGTGTTTGACGACGTACGCGATGGGATTGTGACATAATTCATGTCTTGACCAGCGCGTCATATTCGTCTAACCATCTTACCCTCCCATGCTAATTTTGGTTCATGCCAAGTTAAGGGGGTGACAACGAGAGCAACCAAACGTAGGCAGTCCGATAGATATAGATAGATAGATAGAGATAGATAGATAGAGATAGATAGATATAGATAGATAGATATAGAGATAGATAGAGATAGATATAGATAGATAGATATAGAGATAGATAGATATAGATAGATAGATAGAGAGATAGATAGAGATAGATATAGAGATAGATAGAGATAGATATAGAGATAGATAGAGATAGATATAGATAGATAGATAGAGATAGATAGAGATAGATATAGAGATAGATAGATATAGATAGAGATAGATAGAGATAGATATAGATAGATAGATAGAGATAGATAGATAGAGATAGATATAGAGATAGATAGATATAGATAGAGATAGATAGATAGAGAAAGATAGATAGACATAGATAGAGATAGATAAAGATAGAGATAGATAGATAGAGAAAGATAGAGATAGACATAGATAGAGATAGATAAAGATAGAGATAGATAGAGATAGATAGAGATAGATAGATAGAGATAGAGATAGATAGAGATAGATAGATAGAGATAGATAGAGATAGGTAGCGATAGAGATAGGTAGATAGAGATAGATAGAGATAGATAGATAGATAGATAGAGATAGATATAGATAGATAGATAGATAGATATAGATAGATAGATATAGATAGATAGATATAAATAGATAGATATAAATAGATAGATATATAGATAGATATATAGATAGATAGAGATATATAGATAGATAGAGATAGATAGAGATAGATAGATAGATAGATAGATACGCTCAAAGTCGGCGAAGTTCGCTGAGAAATGCTTCGCATTTAAAAAGAAAGATAGCCTCGCGTGTGTGAAAATAACTGCGACGCTGTTATTTACTTGGATGTCCATGTCTTTCGGCTGAAACGTAAATGAGTACAGCAAGAAGGCCTCCAAACTATTACTGCTGAGATGAAAGCATAACATCTTGACTTAGGCAAGCATTTCATGCGGAATAACGAAGTTTCCCATGCTGTTCCACAAATAACTCTGCTCACTTGTTTCGCACGACTTTCTCATTAACGTTCAGGAAACAATAAAGTGAGCATTGCATCAGTCTACTGAAAATTACGGTTCTTGTGATTGAAGCATTATTTTAAACACCCTGGAAATGATTTTCAACGTGATGACCAAGTCCGAGAAGTTGACATTTAGGATACCTAGTCCGTACCTAATAATAACACAGTTCTCGGAAAAAAGAGCGTAATTTTTAAGGGGTTTGATTTCCTTGTTAGACACATGAGAGCCAACAAACATAGGAAACATAGGGGACGCTATTTGCAGTTATTATGATATAAGCTAAAGTAAGCTAGGGAGCTTTAGAACAGCGTTAGCGGGCGCTGCGGGCGTAGCATTTACGTATGGGCGCCATATAATTAGGGAGGCTTAGAAAAGCGCATGCACCGCAAGCCCTTGCGCTGCGATCGCTGCCACTGCGCATGCGTCGTAACGCGAGCCGCCGTTCGCGCTTGCGGCCCACCAGCAGAAATTCCGAAATAGCGTGCGGGAATCACGGACCGCGAAGCCCGCGAAGTGCTCTGTGTAGCATCCGTACATTTGGGTTAGTGGTCAGGGCGAAATTCTCTAGGCTTTTCTCAGGGGGCGCAAACATTATTCTAAATCTCATATGGTGCCCGCAACTAAAGCAACGCCCGCAACGCCTGCGAACGTTATTCTAAACATCTCTATTCTAAACCTTTTTATTGTTAGAAATAGCACTTGCCCCTGCGCCGCACGCTCGCTCATCGCTTTGCAGGGTTTGTGGGCGGCAAGTTATTACAGATTTTCTGCGGGCAAATCGCAAGCGCGAACAGCGGCTCGCGTTACGACGCACGCACAGTCACAGTGACCGCACCGCAAAGGCTTGCGGTACGCTATTATAAAACTCCCTACTAAAGCGGACGAAAAGACAACCTGCCGCCGGTCACCGTAGAACTCGCAGCCTTCGAATGACTCGTCCGATGCTCCGCCAATTAAGCCACGGCGTAGGCCTTCCTCTCCTACACTTTATCGGTTATACCTTGCCATGCATTTTAACCTGGGAGTGTTAGGAAGTATTGGTAGTCAGCGCCCCTCGTATCCACGGCGGCCAGTGTGGAACATTGTTTTTTTTTCTTTTGCGAGCTGGTGTTACGAAGCACCTGATCTTTTTTTACGAGCTGATATCTAACCAATAATCCCTTGCATGCCATCTAAAAGCATCAAGTCAGCCGAAACGAGACGCTCGCGAATGAACGGAAGAGGAAACTTCTAAAGGTTCGTTTTTCTTTTTGATGGACGCAACCTTAAAATAGAGGTATGTAGTATTTGGTTCCCCATGTCGCTGAGTGCAGAGTCTTCAAGATGCTAAGCCCTTGTTCTATTCTTACTGTTTAATTGCGCGTTCAGTATTAGGCGGTCTGCAAAATGAGGCTACATGCAGCAGTTTTCCCCAACTACCAGACGTATCCAAACTTTTTTGGCGTGTTGTTCAAGTAACAAATCCTAATTTGGGAGCAAGAACCACGCATTGAGAGTCCCATTTCGCACCACATACTCGGACACCAGCGGATTCGACGTCACAGAGTAGTGATGATGATTTACAAATTGAGAGAACAAGAGCACTCAAAAAACGAGAAACAGCAGCAACGGGACATCATAAAGACGAACTAAGCGATGTTCTGTTGTTCATACTGGTTCCCCTTTTTTGCCCAAATGTACCAGCAGGCCAAAATAAGCACTCGGGGGAAGAAGAATGTAGCCAAGAAATAGCCAAATAATCAAGGCGATTTTTCTACTACGATTGACAAAAAAAAGAAAAAGAAAAGAGGAAGATTGTTTTTGACTTCGAATCATCTCAGGCGATTGCACAAGGAACCACCCGACTTTTCATCGCTTACTGTAGTAGTGTTATACTAGCTGTATTCACATAACATGTTATATCCTGAGTCATACGAGCCAAGGGTTACTACAATATACAGTGCACTGATTTAGATGACGGAAATCCACGCATCTCTACTGAGTGAATCATGAAAAGTGGGCGAAGCACTGTGGAGTTAAATCGCCTGTCCACTCGCGCATGTAAATGAGTGACAACACGGTTATACAGTATACACAATGTTTTATTGGTCATGACTCGTATATATGTTATGTTGAGTTCTGCGTTCTGTTTTGCTTTCATTATACCAGGATAGCTTGCTGTGTGCGTAGACGTTGAGACGCCGCATGCTGCACTCTCGCCTCCGGAGTAGCAGCTTCTTGTCGGCGTTGCCGCTGCTTCCCGAACTCTCGCCTCCGGACTATCTTGTTTTCTGCGTCGGCGTTGCCTTTCGCGGGCTAGAGCGCAATCACGTTCGCTTTCATTCATGGCAGAAAGTAGATGTGTGGTCTGGAAATGCTTATTCTTTATCAGCCTCAGCACAAAATGCCCTATAGACGTGTAGCGGGTACCTCGCTTTTCAGCAGAATGACGAATGGCATATTCGGTGCTTATCTACCTCATGAAGGCCACGGTGAATGTAGTGTGTTATGGGTACTTTGCATGTGCAGTGCCGGAAAATGGACAGCAGGCAAGCCTAGACCTTAAGGTCTAGGCTTGTCTCCTAAAAGAATAGCCACGTTGGCGTAAAATGGCCACACCTGAAAGCCCTGATCAACGGCACTCAATCGCCTTTTGAGACC